ACGAGGAATGCTGTGCCTTACTGTTATGAAAGAGGACCAGGGTCATGAACCTGCCAGCAGGCTGGTCACCCTGGGGAACTGTGCCATATCAGGGCACCGTGTTGGTCTCTGTGGTTGGCAGGCTGGGCACTCAGCAGTGGGCACAGCCTGCTCAGCCTCGGTGGACCTAGCAACAACAGGACTGTGCTGCTAAACCCGTGCCTGACATCCATTCCTGCCCCTTTGTTCTGAGCCCACTGGGTAATGCGGGCTTTCCTGGGGACACAGGCTGACTAATAGCCCCAGAATGGTTATCCAAGCAACTTGATTCCTAAAAATCCTCTTCTTCTGAGGTCACCCTTTGGGGAGCATTCCTGTGGGACACAAATATCCTTGTATTCTCAGAGAATTCTATCCACATACCTCTCCCCCAAATTTCTATGTCACAAGTTTCCAATTGGATTTTCTAAGTCCCTACCATCCAGCCAAACCATTGAAATGGGCATCTACTTGCATAGGTGTGCATTGCTCCTTCCCAGCAAACTGTACCACCTGGCGTACTGCTCAGCGTTGTGCCCACTGAGAACATTTCCTTATACACTGTCTTTCAGGAATAGTCTGGAGAAGGGCTATAATGCTGCAGCTGTTCCCTTTCAGGCAGGACCTAAGGATTCTACAGAAGCATCAGGAAACCAGTCACCATTCCTCTCTTCCTCTGTTGGGAGCTTCCCATAAGGCCTAGGTACAGACTGGGAGAAGGAGGCTGTGGGGTAGAAGTGGGGATCACAAGCATTCAGGCAACTTCTTCAGGGAACTTGCTTGTGCCCCGGAGCCTGATCAGGCCAGATCATGTACCTACCGCTTCCATCTGATTACGGAGGGCTGCTGTGCTTACCACCCTCAAGCGAATATCATTTTCAATGTGCAAAAACTGAGAGATTTTCCCCTAAGCTCAGGAACAAAGCAAGGATATCCACTCTGACCACTGTTGTTCAACATAGTCCTAGAAGTCGTAGCCTCAGCAATTGACAACGAAAAGAAATAAGGAGCCATCTGAATCGACAAAGAAAAAGTCAAACTCTTACTCTTCACAGATGACATGATACTCTATATGGGAAACCCAAAAGATCCACCCCAAAACTGATAGCACTCATGCAGGAATTCAGCAAACTGGCAGGATATAAAATCAAGGCCTAGAAATCGGTTGTATTTCTATACACTAACAATGAGACAAAAGAAGCAGAAATAAAAAAGGTGATCCCGTTTATAGTTGCACATAAAATCCTAAGAAATGTAGGAATAAACTTAACCAAAGAAGCAAACTAAACTACGGAACACTCATGAGAGAAATTGAGGAAGACACGAAGAGTTGGAAAGACATTCCATGCTCACAGATTGCAAGAACAAATATCGTTAAGTGTCTGTGCTACCCAGAGCCATCTACACATTCAGGGCAGTCCCTATGACAATACTATCAATTTTTTCACAGAGCTGGAATAAGTAATCCTGAAATTTGTATGGAAGCAGGAAAGACTCTAAATAGACAAAGCAATGTTGGCAAAGAAAATCAAAGCTGGTGGCATCACATTCTGGACTTCAGGCTCTATTACAAAGCTATAATCTTCAACACAGTATGGTACTGCACAAAAACAGACACATAGATCAATGGAACAGAATAGAGAGCCCAAAAATGGGCCCTCGACTCTATGGTCAACTAATCCTTGACAAAGCAGGAAAGAATATCCTGTTGGCGGGGGTGGGGGTGGGGGAAAGGCAGTCTCTTCAACAAATTGTGTTGGGAATATTGGCCCCCCACGTGCAGAAGAATGAAACTGGACCATTTTCTTTCTTTTTTTTTTTTTAAAGATTTTATTTATTTATTTGACAGAGAGAGATCACAAGCAGGCAGAGAGGCAGGCAGAGAGAAAGGGAGAAGCAGGCTTCCCATTAAGCAGAAAGCCCGATGCAGGGCCCGATCCCAGGACCCTAAGATCATGACCTGAGCAGAAAGCAGAGGCTTAACCACTGAGCCAGCCAGGTGCCCTCAAACTGGACCATTTTCTACCACCCTACACAAAAACAGCCTCAAAATCGATGAGAGACCTAAATGTGAGGCAGGAATCCATCAAAATCCTAGAGGAGAACATAGATAGCAAGCTCTATGAGCTCACCCGCAACAACTTCTTATAAGACATGTCTCCAGAGGCAAGGGAATCAAAGGCAAATATGATCTACTGGGACTTCATCAAAATAAAAAGCTCTAGGTTTTGTTGTTATTGTTGTTTTAAAGATTGTATTCATTTATTTCAGAGCGAAAGCATGAGCAGGGAGGAGGGACAGAGAGAGAGGGAAGAACATATTCCCCGTTGAGCAGGGAGCCCCATGCAGGCCTCGAACCCAGGGCCCTTGGATTATTACCTGAGCAGAAGGCAGACACTTAACCAACTAAGCCACCCAGGCACCCCATAAAAAGCTTTTGGATAGCAAAGGATCAGTCCACAAAACCAAAAGACCACTACAGAATGGGAGGAGATATTGCAAATGACAGATAAAGGGCCAGAATCCAAAATCTATAAAGAACTCACCACCTCAACACCCCAAAACAAACAATCTAATCAACGAATGAGCAGAAGACATGAACAGACACATCTGCAAAGAAGACATCCAAATGGCCAACAGACACATGAACAAATGCTCAACATCACTCAGCATCAAGGAAATACAAATCAAAACCACCATGAGATACCACCTTACACCAGTCAGAATGGCTAAAATTAACAAGTCAGGAAAGGACAGATGTTGGTGACAATGTGGAGAAAGAGGAACCCTCTTACACTGTTGGTGGGAATGCAAGCTGGTGCTGCCTCTCGAGAAAACCCTATGGAGATTCCTCAAAAAGTTGAAAATAGAGCTACCCTGTGACCCAGCGATTGCACTACTGGGGATTTACTCCAAAGATACAAACGTAGTGAACCGACGGGGCAAGTGCACTCCAGTGTTTATGGCAACAGTGTCCACAATAGCCAAATTATGGAAAGAGCACAGATGTCCACCGACAGGTGAATGGATAGCGAAGATGTGGTATAATGTACCCAGCCATCAAAAAAAAAATGGAATCTTGACATTTGCAACAACAAGCACAGAACTAGAGGGTATTCTGCTAAGCGAAGTAAGTCAGAGAAGACAAGTATCATATGGTCTTACTCAGGATTAGTAAGATGTAGAATTTAAGAAAGAAAATCGAGGGTCATGGAAGAAGGGAGGGAGAAATAAAACAAGACGAAACCAGAGAGGGAGATAAACCAGAAGAGAATCTTAATCACAGAAAATAAACTGAGGGCTGCTGGAGGGGAGAGAGGGAGCAGGATGGGCAAACTAGGTGGTGGACACTGTGAGGGAGGAGGCCACATGGTGTAGTCAGCACTGTGTGTTATGTGAGACATGAACCACTGGCCTCTACCTGGGAAGCTAGGAATACAGTATATGTCATTTAATTGAGTTTAAATTTTAAAAAATAGGAAAAAGAAAACAATATTAGTGATTTCTCCTCAACAGGCAAAGTATTACTACAATTCACACAGTGTAGGTGTATTCTTTAAATGTCTTTTAAACTATTTAAAATTATTCATTAAGCTTCTATACTAGAATTGTTAACCCTTAAAAGCCTAAATTTCTTGTGGAAATTGAGAAGTAAACGGTAGTTCACTCTTATCCCAGCATTCCTAGCTGATTGCCAGGTTTTAAATTCTGTTCACAATTTTTAGAAACACATGACTTCTCATCGTACATTTTCCAGTTTGACACAGGACATGCTTACCAACAGACCCACATATTTTGAGTTCCTTTGTAAAAGGAAACGAAAAGTAGATAAATCTATGTTCCATGAATGAATAAATAAATAAATAATAAATGCAGGCCAGAACAGTTCATCCAGCTTCTGTTAGAGCCCTACACATATCTGGTCACACCTGATTCAGTCAGCGGCCTTAGGTTTCTCCAGGTGCTGTTGTTTACAAGGTGGCTATTCAGTTCTCAAAGCCCAGAACTAACGTGAGTGTTTCCAGTGACTGAAGGGGTGGGATACTTTATTATCTATCATACTTACCATAAGTCTAGCATTATGTGGCTGATTTTATGCAATTTATCGGATAGGGAGATGATCGTGAGTGAAAGTGATGTACTCTCGCTCCAACACTCACTTTGTCTCAGAGCTAAAGTGTGGTCACTGAAAAAAAAAAAAATCACTCATTTTTTTCCTCCTCTGCAAACCTGAAGGTAGCTCTGCTTGGAAATAGGATTCTCTGTAGAATTTACGGGTTGCTAAGAGGTTCCATAGCTGGAGGAAGAGCATTCCTCTGCTTCTACTTCCAGAGCCTGAGAAGGTGCGTTAAAAGTTGGCCACAGGCCCATATGCTTCTCCTACACTTGCAGAGAAAGGGGACTTGAAGCTACGTGCCTTCAAAGAGGAGGGAGAATTGCCTATAAATTATCTCACCAAGCTTGATTCTTACAAAAGATGGCGGTAAAATTCACCAAGTGCCCCAAAGAATCCAGTTAACTTGTCACACCCATAGGCGCACGTGTCTCTGTCTAGTGGTTTTCAAGCATCGAAAACCTTCCTYGCCCGCCAGCGCCCCGCCCCCTCCCAGAGATCCGGACCCAGGCGGCTGCAGGGGCCCCGGCGCGATTCCGTCTGGCGCCGCCTCCCCTGGCCGCGCTGCTCAGCACCTCCGCTCCGCCCCTCTGCTCTGCCGGCGGCTCTGCCTGGGGCTCGATCCTCGGCCGCTTCCTCTGCCTCTCCCGGCTCGGTCCGCGCTGCTCTCTCGCCTCTGCGCACGGGTAAGAAGGGAAGTGGGCGGCGCCGAGCGGCTTCTCCGGGACAGAGGTCCAGTCCCTCTCGGCGGGCGACAGGCTCCCGCGCAGCCCGGCCGGCCGCCCCGAGCGCGCTCTGCTTCCCGGCGGGCGGTTCCTTCGGAAGCCGCTCGGCGCCTCGCCTGGACCTGCCCCGGCTCGGGGTCGCGATGGAGCCCACGGCCGCCACCACGCTCACGGGGCGCTCGCGGCTCCTGCGCCCGCTGTTTCTCCTGCGGCTGCTGCGCGGGATCACGGCGGCGCCGGCCGGGTGGGTCGCGGGCGCGACGCGCGGCGGAGCGGAGACCGGTGAGTCCCGGGAACTGGGGAACCTTGTCGCCGGCTTGGGCCGCCACCCCCCACCCACCCCCGCCGAGTCGCCGCCGCCCGCGGGCTCCTTGCCCGCTCCGCGGACTCCGCCGGGACTTTGCCGCCCTGTGGAGAAGAGGAACCTGGGCGACCACGGACGGCCAGGTCTGGGCGCTGGAGCCGGGGGGAGGGGAGAGGCCGCGGCGGGGAGTCCGCTGTCGCCCCCGCCCCCGCCTGCCCCCTCGGGGAGCGGGAGGCCAGCCCTGGAGCCCCGGGCTGCGTACAGGACCGGGCGGTCGCGCAGGGCCTGGGCCCCGCACACCCCCGCGACTCTGGCACTGAAGCAACTTCTCCAGGAGTCACCACCCCCGCCCCTCCAGAGCTCCCCCTGGATATATTTTGTGGACCTTTTAGGGTTTTTCTGTTTGGGGAGTTTTTCGTTTGATTTGCTTCTATTTTATATCTTTCTGACTTAAGCATTTCTCTGAGCCTTGTGATCCCTTCCTCTGGTCTCTGCTCAGGAAATTCTTGATAATCTCAGTGCAACAGGGGACAGGCCTTTCTTCACTTTACCTGGACTCATCCTTGGAGCCCATTAGGGCCATCTTCTGGGCCCTACGGAATCCTGCGACCCAGGGTCTTGAACTCTCCCTTCTCTGACTTTGGGTTCTATGCTCACTGCCCCTACCCTGCCCCAGCTCCTCAGGAGCAGCCCCCGCCCTGCCTCTCATCTTCCTACAGGACACTGGCCTGCGTCCTGACAGTCCTGTGACACGCAGGCCTCCTCTGCTATGGCCTGGCTGGCCTGTGTGTGCATTGGGTAGAGTGACTGATGCAGCCTTTGGCCTGGTAGGTGCGGGTTCCCATCTGGGGATATGTGGCTTCCTGCCAGGCAGAGGTATCCTGATCCTATCCCAAAAGGGGAAGGACGCCAGCCTCTACACTAGGGTGAGCCGCTGTGCAGGGACAGTCCTTGCTCTGTCTTGCACACATTCTATTGCTGTCGCCTGGATGGCAGCGGGGTGCCTGCAGCTCTTTTTTTTTCCAGCACCAACCTCCACCTGTGTTTTTCCTTCCCAGACGCTCTCTTGCTTTCCTACAATTTCTCCATCACATCTCAGGCCAGGCCCGGACAACCGTGGTGTGAGATTCAAGGCCAGGTCAATGGAAACGAGTTTCTTTATTATGCCTGTGGGAGCAGGTGGGTCATACCCATTGGTCCTTGGGGGATGAAGCTGAAGGACACAGCATTTTGGGACACACAGATGGATCCTCTGGAAGACCTGGGGGAAGAGCTCAGAAAGAAACTGCTGGACATCAAAGCAGAGTTTGTCACTGAGAGCGGTGAGTCCGAAGGCCCAGGGCAGAAGGAGAACACTTTGGCAGGGCCGGGGAGCTGTGGTGTTCATGTAAAACTTCGAGGTGGGTCCCAGCAGCCAGGGCAGACAAGGAGGCCAGAGCAGGACCAGGAGGGCAGAAGGAGAGCTGAGGAGTGCACAGCGGGTGGGGCAGAGGATTGGTCAAGACCAGAGGCTGACCTGCTTCCCCTGGTGGGGCCGGGGGCAGATTCTCTCACCCTGCAGGGCTGGCTCATGTGTGAGCGTGGGGCCGACGGACACAGCAGAGGATCCTGGCGGTTTGTCTTCAATGAGCAGTTTACCTGCCTCTTTGACCCGGAGAAAAGAAAGTGGATACAGTTTCCTCCTGGAGGCCAACAGGTTAAGGACATGTTGGACGGTGACAGAGAGCTGACCGAGCTCCTCATGAAGATCGCAAATGGAGACTGTAAGAGATGGCTCCAGAAACTGCGGGAGCACAGCCATGAGACGCAGGAGACCACAGGTAACTTGAAGACTGGATGGAGTGCTGGTCCTCTTGAAGAGATTGGCCGAACCCACCATAGCATGTGTGTGTGTGTGTGTGTGTGTGTGTGTAATGATGCATACATGATGAGTTGTACTTAGGAGTACAAGGGCCACTAGTATGTTCTAGTATCCTTCCTTTCCCTGCTCACCTACTGGCATCTCTCCCTACTGCACATACCTTTGGTTCTCTCTCTGTGGATTTCTTGCTGGCCCCAACCTGAGGGCATCATTCTGTTTCCAGAGGTTTACTTCTTACTATTCCCTTTTCAGAGCCTCATTGTTGTTTTTTGTTTCCCCTGGTCTCTTTCTCAAAATCCTTCTGTGCCAGGTGAAATGTCAGCTCCTGACAAGATGTCTCTGTCACCATCCATACGTGTCCCCTCCTTTTCTGTCACAGCAGGAGTGACTGTCTGTATGGAAAGCCTTGCTTCCCCCATTAGCTATATGATCTGCATGAACCCCCCGCTCCATCCCCAGGACCAGTCACAGCGGCTGCCACAAACAGGGCAGAAGGACATCTGGGCTGTAGGATTATGTGGGGCAGCAGCAGCTAAAGACTCATGCCCCCAGTTTGGGGCCCCTAATCAGGGCTCTCACTACTGTGTTTCCATTTCAGGAGCACCGGCCACAACCCTGCATGTACCTCTGGTCAAAAGCGCAGCCGTCAGGCCGATCACTTCCGTCCTCCTTGTGGTCCTCACGCACTTAATCCTCCTTGTTGTCCAAGGTATAGTCCTTTGAGTAACAGGTACTGTGGGCATAACTCAGTCAGAGGTGAGAGGCAGATGGCCCAAGGTGAGCACAGAGAAAAGCGAATGGCCAGCCCTTGTCCCATCACCTGAACCTTCTCACGTGAACATGAGACCAGATGCGTTGGACTGGCTTCTCCCAGAAAGAGAGTTGGATTAGCTTCTCCCAAGAAAGAGACCCATCAGGAGCTGTTGATGTAGAGGTTGAGGCAGATAATCATTATAAGGGATTGGCTCATGACTAGGGGGTCTGTGAGCTGGAGAACCAGGGAAGCCGGTGGTGGGGTTTCCAGCGCAAACCCGAAGGCCCGAGAATCAGGGCATCTGTGGTGTAAGTCTAGGTCCTGGTCCAAAGAACCAAACACCAGGAGTGCTAATGACCAATGCTGAGGGCAGGAGGAGGATGGCCCAGCCAATCTGAGAGCAAAGTCACCTTTGCTCCGCCGTTTGTTCCATTCAGGCCCTCGTGGATTTGATGAGGACAGTCTCCTTTACTCAGTCTACTGATTCAAATGCTCATGTCTTCCAGAAACACTCCCTAGACAGACCCAGAAAGAATGTTTTCCCAGCTATTGGGGGCTGTCCCTTGGCCCATCAACTTGACCCATAAAAGGAGCCAGGACCAAGTTCTCACATGCTTGATAGCTGTTCCCTGGGCAAACTTATCCTTGAGCTCTGATAGTGCCTCGTTAAGGCTGGTGGGAAAGCACAGGGCTCCCCTGCCCCTGACCCCAACGTTTGCATCCTGTTTTTGCTAAAGGGATTGAGCAAAATCAGGCCTGGCTGAGACCAACTTTTCACCTGGGAGGGGCCCGAGTGAAGGGTGGTGTGCAGACAGTAGGAGCAACGGACATGAACAACACTCTGGTTTGGGGGAGAGCAGCAGGTGGCTGCACGTGATGTGTCCTAGGGATGGGGGACCTCTCCATGCTGCGTCCAGGAGAGGGGCCCGTGTCTGAACCAAAGAAGAGGGGTGGGAAGGCCGTTGCCCACCCAACCAAAGGCTGGCTTGCAGGGCTCTGCTCCCATGCTCCTCGGCTTGGGTGGTGGCAGCTAACCAGAGGGCCCATGGGAGAGACTCTCCAGGGTGAGATTTGGAGGCCAGAGCTCCAGGGTCCCCTGGGATACCTGGCTCAGCCCTGGTGTGCTCAGAACCTGGCAGCTAGGCTCCTGCAGAGCCCAGATATCCAGCCCGCTGAACTGCTCCTGCCTTGAGCAGAGGTGCCTCAGAGTGCCTCAGGAGGGGACATTGAGCTGCTGTTAGAATGGGATGCTGTCACCTGACCGGAAAAGGAAAGGGTGTGGCAGGGCAAGGACAGTCACACTCAGACCTTGTGTTCAGCTACCAAGGGGAGGAGAGGCTGAAGACAAAGGAAGATGGTTCTTTGCCTATAATCTTCCCCAAGGCTACAGGAACCAGGATCCAGGTCCCTTTCTGGGGAGGGCTCCCAGCCACGCTCTTAGGCCTTCTCACCTGGCCAGAGGGGGGCCAGGATCTATGTCATGGGAACAGATGAATCATTGGTGGCTTTAGTCCTGAGCCTAGGTGTTCAGTAGTAGGGCCTGGATCTGACTGTTTTGTGGTAATGAGGGAAGGGTTTGGTCAGGCTGCTGGACCCAGGGGTTGGGTGTCCCAGCTTAGGGGTGGGGGTAGTGTAGGGTGATACTTGACCCTCGGTGTGAGCTGGGCTTTGAGCCAGGCAGTAACTCTGGAGGGAGAAGCCCAAGAAGACTGACCCAAGATTTTCTCAGCCACTGGAACAAGCTCCCGTTTCCCTTTTAGAGGCTGAAGTTGCTACAAGAAGGCCTGAGGATCTGCTCTCCTGCACCCGCTCTCCCTTCTGATGA